CCCAGGCAGCACAGCAATTCCCAGCAAGGCGGGGGGAGCGCTGGAAAAACCGGGGAGCAACCTCGAGACTCCCCCACCGCAGCTCTGGGGAGCCAGCGGGCATCACCCCCCTCAGTCCAACCCGCGGGAGGCCAAGGGCCAGGCGGGGGTTACAGCCAAACAGACAGGTAAGAAAATACTTCTGGTATTTCTCAGAAACAGCATTTAGAAACCACAGTTTTTTTACAGCTCCCCATAAAAAATGATGGGTTTGAGCACAGGTGCTCCACTAGTAGAAACGCTTGTTCCGCTCCTGGCGCTTCTGGAAGACCACGGCTCCCACCACGGCACAGACAATGATGCCCAGCAGTGCACAGAGCAGGAGCAGGAACACCTTCCAGCCCGTCATCGGCCCGCTCCGGAAATTCCCCGTCGGGTCATCCACGTTGTCTGCAAGGGAAACAACAGCTACAGAGACCAACATAACCTCGGCTCCAGTGGAGTTTTAACAGGTGTCAATGCCTTCCCGAGTCCAGCCCCAATATCCCAATCCCCCACAGAAAGTTTCCAAAGCCCACAGGCTCACCTTTGGGAGATTTAAGGAGGCTGACGCTTGGTTCAATCTTGGTCCAGTCAACGCTCTCATCTTCTACAGGGTGCTCCACCATGAGCTGGAACAGCTTCATCGAGATAATGTCGTGATTGTCTGCAGAACAACCATGAGCACCAAGCACCATCAGAAGCTCCAAGATGTCCACACAGTTGGAGCACTCCTCAGACCAGCTTTTGCCAGGTCCAGTCTCCTTCCCTCTCAAACCACCCTCATCCCCAGGTACCAAACTGCAATCCAAAGATGTTCCTTAGCTCTCAGGTGCCTCCTTTCCCCAGCCACGGATCCCAAAAGGGCTTCAAAGCCCGGTAAACAATTCAGAGAAAGTAAGCCATGGAAACTACCCAGTGCATCCAGTGTCACAATCACAGAATTTTTAGGGTTGGAAGGGACCTCTGGAGATCCAACTCCCCTGCCAAGACAGGGTCACCTAATCCAGGCTCCAACCACCATGTGTTACCCTGAGCAAAGTCCCCTCTCACCAGAGAGATCTCCAGTGCCAGCAGAAGCACCAAAGAAATATCCAGTTGGCAGCTGCACCCCTGCAATGTCAATGCAGTTCTTCCATTCGTTCTTGTCTTCAACATCAGTCATCACCTGCAAAACCAGGAGAGGGTCACACCAGGAATGTTCACAATCATGGGACAGGATCCAATCTCCCTGCTCAAGCAGCACCATCCCAGATCACGTAGATTGTGTCCAGATGATTCATTAATATCTCCAGCGAGGGACACTCCACACCCTCTCCAGGCAATCACTTTTAGCATGCCACTATCCTGCCTGGCTGCACCTCTTTTGGAGCTGGAGGTGCCAGAGAGGCAGTGGCTGAGCCTGGAATACCAGCTCCTGGTAGAGGCAGCCCTGCCCCACCTGAAATGCAGGACTGCCCCGGGGTCTCACCGTGAGCCGGCCCCGGGAGTAGCGCACGGCCAGGAAGGTGTCGTGGTTCTGGTTGCGCAGGTCAGCGGAGCACCCGGCCAGCTCCGTCCAGCGCCCGTCCTTGCTGTGGTCATAGGTCAGGGAGCCGTTGTTGACCATGGCCGAGATGTAGGGGAACACACGCTGTGGGGACAGAGAGTGGCTGCCAGAGCTCCCGGGGGCACAGCAGAGCCGCCGTGCCCAGGGAGGGAGCACAGCACAGCAGCAGGGCCATGGTCAGGCACGGAGCACAGGACCACGACACCACGGCTGCTTCTGAACCAAGCCAGAGCTGCCTAAAGCAGAGCCACCCTTTCTGACCTCCCATTTCAAAACCCCCATCCTGTGATTCTGTGAATAAACTCACCCTGTACTCCATGGCCAGGGCAACCAGACTGTCTCACACTTGCAGAGTGGCTGAGTAAAAATCTCAGAATTGTTTAGGTTGGAAAACACCTCTGAGAGCATTCAGTCCAACCTGTGACCAATCCCCACCTTGTCAGCTAGCCCTGCCAGCCACGTCTAGTCATTCCTTGAGCACCAGAAGTGTAGGAACAGAGCACAAGACCCAGAACAGACAGAAATCTCACATAAGCAACAAAACCACACACAAGGTTTTGTGATCAGTAGATTACCTACATCAGGAGAGGGCAACTGGAGGCAAGAATCCACCTCCCATGAGCATCAATACAACAGGGAGATGGGTCATTTCCAGGTGCTTTATGACTGAAGTATCATAGTTTTGATGGTAGAGACCCCAAAGCACAATTTTGTTTTCTGACTGTGCCATAATGAGATCCACAAACACAGAGCAGGACAGAATAAAAGGATGCCCAGCCCTCACAGGACTGATCTGTCCTGTGGCCATGGGGAATTCTGGAGCAAAAAGGCAGCCCAGGAGTTTCTTTCAGACACACACAGGTTGCAAAGAGAAAATAAGGGCAGAAACATCATGGAATGAGTATCCAAAGCACAGAGGTCAGGGAATGACACTCAGGATGAATATTAGCAGGTGGTGCTGGGTTTACACCAGCACTGTGCCTGCTCCTTCTGTGCAGAGAAGATGCCTTGGAAACATCTATGCAGCCAAGAGCAGCACAGAAAAGAGCAAGGAGCTTCTTATCTCCATTAATGCACACAAAGTCTTCTCTTTACTAACTTTCAGGACAGGAAGAGCAGACCATGCTCAAGAGACTTTTCCTTGGATCAGGTGAGAAGCACTTGGAGTAGGAAGGGAACAGCCTGCTGGGCACTGCACAAGCTGCCTGGACCACTCACCTCCGTCGCCTCATCATTGGGATAAGTATCAAGGAAAATAGCCAGTCCATGGAAGTTGTCCTTGCTGCCAAAGACAGGACCTGGAACAGGGCAGAAGAGTGGAGAGAGGAGGAGACAGAAGGGGGTCAGAATCTGTCCTCAGAGAGTTCTGAGCTGTACGAGCTGTTCACTACCAAGCAGGTGGCTGAGGGCACCTGCTGCTCGGGCAGAACACATGGGACACGTCACCCCAGTCTAGTGAAACCAGACCGGGAACTCAGAAGCGCTCCCTGGCCAGCTGCTTTCCGGGACAGGGACAGCCAGACTCGGCACTGACCTGAGGTCAGGCGCTCCTGCGTGTACCACAGCGCCAGCCCATCCCCATGCAGGTTCTTCTTGCCGGCTCCGTGGATCTTGAAGTGGACGTGGAGCTCCCAGTCCTTGAGGAAGCAGGGCTGCGGGAGAAACCCCAGCGGCGTCAGGGCATGAGGCGGCAGGGCCAGCCCGAGCCCCCGCCCGTCCTCCCCCGGGCTCTCACCACGCGGTTCCAGATGGAGCCCCTCCGACTGCGCTCGTCGGGCGTCAGGCGGACGTACTGGCTGGTGACGATAGTGCTGTCCTGGAAGTCCCACAACGGCATCGCGGCGGAGCCCGCGCCTGCAAAGGGGCGAACAGAGCGCGGATCAGCCCGGGCCTCTCGCGGGGCGCCCTGCGCGTCTCTCCGGCTCCGCGCTCACCCTGATACGGCTTCATCAGCGAGTGCTCCCGTTTCAGATGCTCATTGTTGCCATCCGTGAGTTCGGCGGGCACCGGGCGCAGCCCGGCCAGGGCCAACAGCAGCGCGGCCGCCGCCACCAGCCCGCCCGCACCCGCCGCCATGCTCTGCTTCCGCCTTCCGCCACTCCGCCCTCAGCCCCGCCTCGCAACAGCAACAGCCAATTAGAAATCAGCGCTCACAGTGATCCCGCCCACAAACGTGAGTGGCATCACTGCCAGCCTATTGCAGGGGAGGAGGGCGGGGCCAGCGGGGCACGCAGCTCCCGTTGCACGGCGGGAGGTGGGAGAGGTGGGCAGAACGGCCTCCCGGCGTGCTCTGCGCGTGCGCTGCGGCGCGGGGTGTGCCGGGAGATGTAGTCCGCTCGCCTTTCCTGGGCCACCTCACGTGCACGGCTCGTGCAGCCCGCGGCACACGTGACCCGCCACGACGGGTCCCGGGAACGGGAACGGCCTCGGAATGGGCCCGGGAACGGCCTCGGGAAGAACGGGCTCGGAAACAACTCTGAGATGGGCCCGGGGAACGGCGTCGGGAAGAAAGGGTTTGGGATGGGCCCGGGGAATGGCCTTGGGAAGAATGGCCCCGGGAATGGCCCCGCATGCCTCGCCAGGCCGCAGAGCAGCGGGTCAGCACCGCCGCAGCGCCGCGGAGCAGTAAAGACAGGCCAAGGCAGTGTGGAGGTCACAGCAGCTTTATTGAGGGTCACAGGGCCGCCCCCGTCCCACTCCTACAGGTCTCCCCCATCCCTGGACGCCGTTGTCGCCACAGAGCAGAATCTCCCAGCCCTCCGGATGGGCACCTCCAGCCAGGCAACAGCAGCCCCGGCTGGGACACAATGCGTGTCCCAGCGGTAAAGGGACCCCTCGGTGGCACAGAGCAGCCCTACTGGCATGGGGCAAGGAGATCCCTCTGCTAGTGACTGGTCCTGTCTTTGTGCTTGTCCCAAGTCCTGTGCACACATAGGGACTCCTCTGGCCAGCAAGAGGTGCTGAATGAGGCTTTCTCAAGCCAGCTGCCACAGCTGGGGCAGCACCAGTCCCAGCCCGCGGGAGCACAGGGTGGGACAGCACTCGGGTGCCTGGCAGTGTAGCCAGTGCTGTATTGGGGTGCCCGGTATGCCCTGGGCAGTGTGTGGGTCACAGCAGTCCCTGCGGGGTGTGACAGCAGTGTGGATGGACAAGTCCTGGGCAGGATCTCATGCTGGAGGTCTGCAAGCCCTCAACACGGTGGGACACGTGCTTCTCTCCAGGCTGCAAGGTAGATGGGGGTGTGAGGAGCCTGTGGAAGCCCAGGTGGCAGGGAGAGGGGAAGCCAGCTGATTAGTGGAAGGGTGGGTGGGAAAATCCCAACATGGCAGTCTGAGGCTCAGGGCCCAGCTGAGGCTTGGGGGGAGCCGAGGGACAGGGGGTTGGCTGTGGTGTAGGGACCTGCAGCTCAGTCCTGTCTGGCACTTTGTAGCTCTCACTTCTTCCTGTTCATGATCTGGCTGGAAATCCAGTTCATTCCATCCTGGAGAGAAGAAAGATGTCAGTGCAGGCAGGCCCTTGGCCCCTCTCCCAGCTGTGCAGAGCCCACAGGCCCCCATCTCTACCTGCACCCCTTCCCCAGACAGGGCTGAGCAGGCCTGGATCTGCCACTCCCGGTCCCGGTAGGTGTGGAGGCTCAGCCCTTCTGCGATTTCAGCTGCGGGTGCTGCAGTCACCAGGTCCTGCTTGTTGGCAAACACCAGCAGCGGGACCCCCGTGAGGTTCTCGTCCTCTGTGAGCTCTGCCAGCTCCTGCCAAGAGAGAAGCTTCTCCCAGGGCTGCTGCCCTACTCCACGGAGCTGCCCAGCATGGGCTGGACACCTCAGCCCTCCAAATGCCTCATCTCTTCTCTCTGGTGCTCGTTGCAGATAAGGAAATTGTGAGGTCTTGACATTCCAAGGGAGAGAAGCTCCCAAAGGAGCTTCACCTCCTGGAGCTCCATCAGCCCAGAAGCCACATGCAGGGCTACTTGAGGACTGAAGCCCTCCCAGCATTGAGGGCCCTGGGCAAAGGGTAGCTGCAGGAGGCTTCTGGCAGTCCCGAGCTGTCTGGCACACCCACACTGCCGTCTGGTGCCAGAACAGCCGGGGCTGGCACTTGGAGTCTCACCTTCCCCTCTCAGAGCTTCATTCCCAGGGTTTGCAGATGAATTTGTGACTTACAAACCTTTGTTTGGCCGTTTGGTGCTGGGAGAGTGTGATGAGGGCTAGGGACTAAGGGGTCATTTTCGCCAGGTACTGTCACCCCTGTGACAGCTGGGCACTCTTGGAGCATCCCAGCTCAGGGGGAGCTGCTGGGCCATGGAGTGGGGTATCTCTGCCGGCTGAAACACTGATCTTGAGCCTTCCCACACAGCTCTGGGGACTGCATGGACCCCCCTGCAGTGCTGCCCCACAATTGAGAGCAACTTTGCTTTCCCCTCATCCCCAAAGAGCTGGTGTCGTACAGATCTGAGCACCAGGACCCCACAGCCACCCTTCACCAGGCCACTCATACCTGCCCTGTCTCCTCGAAACGCTTCTGGTCGGCACTGTCAATGACATAAATCTGCCGTGGGGACAAAAGGGACAGTCAGGGGCTCCTTCTTGCCTGGCTGCACAGCCGTTCTGTGGGGCCCGCACAGCATGCTAAGGGCTGGGGATGCTGCCCCACTCACCAGCAGGTCTGTGCTGCCCAGATACTTCTTCCAGTATGGGCGGATGGAGCGCTGCCCCCCGATATCCCAAACATTCAGCTTCAAACCGTGGGAGTGGACGCTCTTGATGTTGAATCCCTGCATGTGGACACAAACCCCGGCATCACCCAAGGGATGGGTGGGACCTGCACCCTCCGCTGCCTCCCGAGGCCCCCAGCAGCACCTACCTGTGTGGGGGTGATGGTGCTGACCTCCTCGGACGCCAGGTGCTTCAGCAGCGTCGTCTTGCCTGCGTTATCCAGCCCCAGCAGGACGATGCGGAGCTCCTGCTCCTGTGAACCCTTCAGCTTCTGGATGACAGAGAGCAGCCCCTGGGGGCAGGGGGTGCTAGAGGAGCCCTCTGGGGTGCTGGGTCACTGCAGAGCACCCTTGTTTGGGAGGGGGGAACTGGGCACACCGTTGGCTTTAGGTACCTTGTGTCTTTGGCCTAAGCGAGCACCAAGACCCAGCTCCCAAGATGTTCAGGCTCGGGGTGGCCCCACAGCAGATCTGCCCAGCCTCAATTCCCCCTTTCCCGGGTGTGCTATCCCAGCCCTGGACCACTCCCAGCTCCTGGGCAGGCCGAGGGGACATGCCCCAGGCACAGCCCTGCTCTGCCAGCCCTCCTGGCACCACCGCTGAGAGCTGGTGCCGCACACCCCCCTGGAGCCGGTGGGATGTCACCGGACCCCGCTTACCTTCTGCACATCACCCATGGTCTGGGAGTCGCTGCAGCCCGCGGCACCGCCTGGGGAGCTGCCGGGGGCTCGTCCCCGGGGCCCGCCGGCGGGTGCGTGACTGGCACGCTCCCCCGTCCCCGGGGGAGGAAGAGGATTACGGGCTCCAGAATTAGCTGCTGTTCCTCCATTTACCCACAGCATTAAATAATGCCCTCGGCAAATCCTCCAGCCAGCTGTCGCCCCGCCGTTGCCTACCCACGGGATAAAGCAGGTCCCCCTAGGCTGGGGCACTGGGGCACAGGGCATCCCTCTCCCCATGGGGCAGGGGTCCCAGCCTGGGAGGATGTCGTGCCCAAGCACAGGGCTGACACAGCCTCCCACACTGGGATACCTCATGTTGAGGCAACACCAGTACCCAGAAGCTGTCCCCTTGCAGGGTGGCAGGAGAAATTGCTGAGCCTGCTTGAGGCCACGTCAGCGACTGACTGCCACAGCTCCCTGCTGCTGCCCAAGGGAAACCACCAGGCCCTGGAGCAGGTTGAGGGCTGGGTTGTCAGCAGCTGGAGCTTGGGGATGACACAGGGCAGGAGTCCAGAGGGGCTCAGACACATTCCCCAGCAGCCCACGCCCAACCCAGGTGGGGTGAGGGGCTCATCTGTTCTCCATTTGGATTAAGTGCATTAATTAAGCAATGTCTTTGATTCCTGCATCCTGCAGTTCTGTCCTCAGATCAGGTTTCCCAGCAGAGAGGTTATCCTTGCGGTGAGGACCGTGAGTCACGCACTGTTGGAAAGACATTTTTATTTATAACTCTCGTGGCAAAGCCAAGCCAAACAACACAGCCACACTGACAAAGCAAAGGGGAGCAGCACGATCATCCCTCATCCCACTGCTGTTCCATGCTGTTCCATGCTGTGGCAGGGGGCAGAGGGGCAGCCAGAGGTGCCACCCTCTGTTCTCTCCACCCAGAAACCCTGCCAGGGCTGTGGCTGCTTGTGCTGTTCTGCTTTTTTGCCTGCTATGGTGGGAAAGCTTCATTTTTTTCTGCATAGATTTGCACCCAACTTAATATTAGGGTTCTGCTTTTGATAGGTTAATCACCCACCTTATGTCCCCATTATTAGCATTTTTCTGAGCAGGTTGCCATGGTGCTCAGCGGTTTATCCTGCACCGTTAGTTACTGAGATTTCCTAACAAATAACCTAAAATATCCTCCACTGGTTTGTGGTTGCTGATCAACACGGAACCCCGGCCTTAGGAGATGGGCAAAACTGCTTAGGCATCAGTTTGGTGACTCCAAGCTGCACGTCCACTGCTCCTCTCTGCCAGGTTCTGCTGGCATGCACAGCACAGGCAGCCCTCCCCAAACGCTGGCCCTGGGGCCAGCCCCAGACCCTCTGTGACCAGGGCGAGTGGCACCAGGCTGGTGGCAGTGTGTGCTGGGCCTGTTGGTGTCCCCCTGCCCCTGCACCCCCCTTCCTTGGGATGATACAATAGCTGGGGGAAGCCCCCTCAGGCTGCCCAGGCTGCAGGGAGGGAGGACAACGGGGTGGTGAGCCCAGGGCAGCACGGGCATGCTGGCAATGGAGGCTGGGATGGGTTTGGGAACAGGAAGGCAGATGGGGATGTGATCATGGATATAGACGTGGATGGAGACGGGGATGGGGATGGGGATGGGGATGGAAACAGAGATGCAGATGGGGATGGGTTCACGAATGTGGATGCAGATGGAGATGGGGAATGAATGGGGAATGAATGGGATGGAGATGGGAAACAGGGATGCAGATGGGAATGGGATAACGGATGTGGATGCAGATGGAGACAGGGACGGGGGTAGGGACGGAGATGCAGCGGCGCCGCGGCGGCTCCGGGCCCGGAGCTGCAGCCGGTGTCTGCCGGGGCGGTGCCGGCGGCGCGGGGCGAGCGGGCGGCCCCGCTCCCCCCGCTGCGGTCTCGGTTCCCATGGTGACACTTCCTGTGGGAGCCGAAAGCGGTAGTGTGGTAGTGCCGGGAGCGCCGGGCCGGGCCGGGCCGGGAGCCGCGCCGCCGGCCGGGGATGCTGCGGGGCCGCGGGCCGCGCCCCTAGCGCGCCGGGCCGGGCCGAGCCAGGGATGCAGGGCAAAGGAAAACTGCTGGTGGTCCACAACGGGCGCATGGTGAGTGCCCGGGGCGTCGGTCCCCATCCCCGGGGCGCCGGTCCCTATCCCCGAGGCGCCGATCCCATATCCTCCGGGATGCTGGTCCCCATCCCCCGGGGCGCCGGTCCCCATCACGCGGGGTGCCGGTCTCCATCCCCCGGAGCGCCGGTCCCATATCCTCCGGGATGCCGGTCCCCATCCCCCGGGGCTGCCCCGCCCGGCGTGGAGCTCGGTACCGGGCAGGCGGGTGATGTGCGGGACTGCGGACCGGACCGGGCGGGGGTGTGGAGTGGATAACGGGCAGACAGAGGGATGTATGGAGTCAGGAAACAGGCAGGCAGGAGGGTGTGGGGCTTCTCGGCAGGAAGGGCAGGATGGGTATCCAAAGCAGGCGGAGTTGTAGAGGGTTTGTCGGGCAGGCAGCAGTTCTGGGGCTGGGTAACAGGCAGGCAGGCACGTGTGGGGCTGGGCGAGTGAGCAGCACGGGTTTGTGAGGCTTGGACAGCGTTATAAGTGGGGATGCGTGGCACTGGGGAATGGACAAGCCGTGAGGGATGGGGATGGGGTCACAGGAATCGGCGGTGCCGGCGTCTGTGGGGCGCAGGCATGGCTGGGCTGTGTGGGTGTGGGCAGCAGGGATGGACGGGGAGGAGCAAGGAGCTGGCAAGACAGAGGGACGTGGGACTGGGGTAAGAGACATGGCGGAGGAATGTGGGGTGGGGTAGCAGGGAAAGGCAGGGGTGGGATAGGGGACCTGGGATGGAGACAGTCAGGGGGTGTATGGGGTAGGCTGGGGGGCATGGGCCAGCTGGGTCAAGGACATCACTCTAATGTGGGCACCACTTCAGTGTGGCCCCAAGCGGGTGACGAGAGACAGAACCGTGCAGTGAGTGCGTGGCTGGGCTTTGGCTACAGAGGCTCTGCCCATCTCCCCGCTTGCTGTGGCTCCTTGGGTACTGCATCCCCTGCCTGGCATCTGGGGTGGCCCAGTGGGTGCTGCAGGACACGCTGTCCTGCTGTGCCTTGGGCTGGCAGCATCTGGTCTCTGCTTTTGGGCATCTGCCCTCCGGTAGCTCCAGGCTCCAAGGAAGGAGGGAACAAGCAGTTTGCCTGCCTGGGGCTGTGGTTCTCCTTCCTTCCCTCCCCTCCCCTCCTCCCCTCCCCTTCCTGTGTTGTGGAGGCTGCTTCTCTCCTCCCTGCTAGCTTGGGGTGGCAGGGTTACATCTGATATCATCTGCCCTTTCCCAATTGCTGGGCTGGCCCTAGGCCATGGAGAGGTAGGAGAAGGGCTGTACCCTCTTTGTAACTACTCACTGCTCCTGTGTCCTGCCTCTGCCACGGGGCAGGTAACACCAGAGCAGTGTTTGCTGACAGTGTCTCTTGCTCTGGGCTCAGACTGGGCTTGCCCTGCTGCTGCTGCCACTCCACCAGGCCAGCAGTAGCCCCTCTCACCTCTCTTCTTTCCACTCCCACAGGGCCCGGCCGTGTCGGATGGAGGTAAGGCTGCTCTATGCCCTGGGACAGGAGGCCAGCATCATCTTCAGGGGAGCGGGGAAGCCCACAGGGGCAGGAAGCCAGCAGACAGTGAGGTCCTGTGTCAGCACAGGTTGTGACATGCGGGGGTGGCAAGGCCACCGCAGTGCAGGGCTGAGCCCTCTGCCCAGGACTGAGCACGTCCCCCCATCCCTCCCACCTGGCCCTTGGTGCCTGTCCCTCCTTTTGGCTGCTCAGCTGGCACTTTGGGGTGCTGGCAGCTGAGTGGCTTCTTTGGCCAAGGAGAACATGGGTACTAGCCAGCCCCAGATTCTCTGAGGGAGTCCGTCTGTCACTCTGACTGTGCACTGGATATCTCAGATGGTTTATTTAACTCTCTTGGCCCGAGTTATTTGTGGTTTAGACCACCAGGAAGATAAGTACAGGGAGCCTGGCAAAGAAGCAGCCTGACACACCTCTATTCCTGCCAGCTTTGCCAGGAGAGCACTGCTTCCATAACCTTACCTTCTCTTGCAAATGATCCCCTGATACTAGCTGCACACCAGACAAACCAGTTCCAAAGCTGGGGTTGCCCCTGGGAACTTCCATCTTTCTGAATTCATGGTCACCCTGGGTTTCCCCGAAGTGGGGTTTCTTCAGGGTTGAGAGCTGGAAATGACACTTGCTGTGCCCTCCACGTGCTTTGTTTGTCCCTCATCATGGCCAGAGGAATAGAGAAAATGGGTTCAGGCACCTCTGCCCATCTTCCAAGCTTCCCTACACTCTGTGTGCCCTCTGTGTCCCCTTCCACTCTGCTTTCCCTGCTGGCTGGGTGCCTTCCCCACGGCTTTTTTACCACCTGGGATGGGCACAACTGCCAGCACTGGCAGGGAGAGCTGCCATGCCAGGAAGTTCCAGCTGTGGCATCCTGGTGCTCAATCCTCCAAGGATGCCACCGTGATGCTCCTCATGTTCCCTATCCAGCACTCACCAGGTCCCGTCCAGATGGGGCAGATGGAGGGCTCCTGGTGCTGAGGGGTGACACTTGGGGACAGGGAGACAGCCAGAACTGACCCTTTTTTTTTCTCAGAGTTAAATGCTTCCCGGGCCCGTGGCAGCAACCACAGTGTGAACAGCCTGCCAGGCCCACCAGCCACGTGTGGATCCACACATGGCTCTGTGGTCAGCTGGGCTGAATCCTTCGAGACACTGCTGCAGGACCGTGTGGCCGTCACCTACTTCACTGTGAGTGTCACAGAGCTCAGTCCCTGCTCCCGTCCACTGCTGGACACCCACTGTCCCACAGCCACAGTGCCACCAGACCAGCAAATCTCTCTGCCCTGCAGGAGTTCCTCAAGAAGGAGTTCAGTGCTGAAAACGTCTACTTTTGGCAAGCATGTGAGCGCTTCCAGCAGATCCCAGCCA